TGCCCTGGAATTATCAAGCCTGGTGAATGCAAAATCGGAATTATGCCTGGTTACATTCATAAACCTGGTCGTGTAGGAATCGTTTCTCGATCTGGTACCTTGACCTATGAAGCGGTGAGTACGAATTGTGACCCAGTTAGGATGTACGAAGGGAGAAAGAAATCTTTTGCCTTTCCAACAGAAAATTTTGATACTAATTTGGTTTTTCGGAAGATTGGGTACTATTATTATGGTCATATCTTCATCCTCTTCTTGTTCAATGTTTGGATTTTGTGGGTACCACCTCCAATTTACATTTTATGCCAGTTTTCTTATACTTCTAATTAATTTTGCCCCTTTACCTTGCAGGTTTTCCAAACAACTGCTGTTGGCCTTTGACAGTCCACCTGTGTTGGTATTGGAGGTGATCATTTTAACGGTACAAACTTTGTTGATTGCACTGACAGATTCCTAGAAGATCCTCAGACAGAAGGTTAGTAGTTCGTATTTTTTGGTGGCATGATCCTCAGACGGAGCTTGTTTCTATGAATTTGCTCTGGAGGTATATCTATGCACTCTGTTTGTTTATGGTTGCATGTATAGGTCCATGGTTTGCCTTTTACTCACCAAATCTGTTCGTGAATGTTGTGTATCATATAAAATATCAGGATACTCTGGGCCTTAAGAGCAAGTGTATAGAATTCTCTCTCTCTCTCGCTCTCTCTCTGCCATTTGCTTGAAATATTTATATCCATCAACAATAATGTTGGTGGTTGCCCATTTGTAAAGTAATGAACCTAGGCTTGATCTTTTGTGATTCAGATTTGTATGATGTGCCTCTGCGTGAGTTCTTGAATACTTACCATTCAAGTTCAACCCTTAGGACTTTTATCTTTTCTAATTGTGGATGCTCGCCTGACTCTTTTTTATTGCTTAAAAATTCCATTGAGCACATTTTATTGATATAGTATTGTATGTTAGCTAAACTTCATTGATTGGAAAAGAATTATTTGGATATAAGAAAAACAAATGAAGTAACTCTTGTGTGATGAATTTTTTTTTTTACTCACCCCTTTTAACTTGATGTAAGGTTTCTTACCCTTTAATTTGTGCGGATGTTTTGGGTAAGATGTACAGAAAAAAAAAAAAAA